TGTATACCAACAGTACTTCATCAATCTTTTATCTTTTTCTTCGATACAAGCGCATTTTGACGCGAGAAATCACCTCTGAAAGTTCACTTCATGCGCCATTTTGATTCTGCCATCTTTGTTGTGACAACACAAATGGAATCTCCACCCATCAGAAGTCAAAAACATCTTTGGGACCTTAACAAGCACGTGTGTTGTCCAGTTTCCTACAAGAATATTTTTTAGTTTTGACAATGGTAAAGCGGTGTGTCGTTGGATCTTGTAATAACTCGAAAACAGGGCAAAGTAAGTAGAAAGAATTCGGCGCCAGTGGATTAACTTTGTCCAAGTTAAACGTGCAGACTTCTTAGAGCCTAGAGAACACTCCATAATCTGTGGCACTCATTTTGCAAACGAATGTTTTGAGGATGATGAGATGGTCAAAATGGGGCTCAAAGATAAAAGAAGCAATTTGAAAAGCGGTTGGGTCCCCACAATTCAGCCCCAGTGACCCAAAGCATCGCCCGAAGCGCGTAAGCGGACTATGGATAGCAAAGAAAAAGAAATACCCGCGACTGCGAGTCAGACTCCTGGCAAAAGGTCACAAACAAGTAGAGCTGTGCACAAGTTATCAGTTTCTAGGGTAAGTAAGCCAAAGTAATATATTAAGACGAAATTTTTTCATTAGGTCAGTATTAACCGTTCCCCCCTTCTCAAGTATATTCTACTTTTTTTCAGTTATTGGCCGATAATAAACGTGCCTCCGTTGCTGTAAGCACCGTCACGTCAGCTTCTGAGTCTATGCCCATTGATATTGAAACAAGTGCTTACTGTGAAGATGTGACATCTGCCAGGTTTAAAGAGGTAGCAATTCAATGTGATATTCTGCACGAAACGTCTATAGGTAAAGGTAGATTAGGCTTAGATGTAATCTTACCTCGCTTTTTTTTGCCCCCTAACCGATTATCTAATGTAGAATCACTATCCAGCAGGCACACAAGTAGAACCCTTAAGAGCAGATTTTCAAGTGCAGTGCGACCTTATAACAGTTCCTTTAAGCACTAGTACAGCAGAATGCAGCCCTGTTAAAAGTCTAGGAGGACGCAGTGTGGACAATGGCAAAGATTTCGATTATGTTCCACCGACTGATTTGTCTCTTGAGGTGTCTCTTGAGGACGCCGAGGACGACACTGAAGAATATGAGGGGAGTCCGTCAAAGTAACGTACCGCTGTACACTGATTATATTTTTGAAGAGATATCGTGCTTTGTTTGTTTTCTTATTTTTCTTATTTTTCGCTGATGGTTTTCACTTGTTATTCGTTGACATATAGGTTAATTGGCAAAAAGGATCCTGTGGCTCCCCAGGATGAGAAAAAGTACACTGTCTTCTTCTCCTGTCTGATGGAACTGTTCGCGGTATGCCCTAATTGTACTGAACCTGGCACAGCTGAAGTAACTGAAGTAATAGGCACTCAGATCTATGTGACTCAGAAGTGTCCCACCTGCAAATTTGTTTGTCCGTGGAAAAGTCAACCCAATAATCGAAGAATTCCCGCAGGAAATCTTTTACTTTCAGCTGCCATTCTTTATTGGGCAGTATGATATCACAGACCCTGCGAATATTTAAGATCCTTAAGGTGGAGTGCTTTAGTTGGCAGACGTTTCACACACACCAGAACAATTATCGTATCCCCGTTATTATAAAATTGTGGACGGAGGAGCAAGACAGTTATACAGAATATGTCTGCTTTACCAGGGGGAGTTGTTCTTTTGGGGGATGGGAGGTCTGACAGTCCAGGTCACTGCGCCAAATATGGAGCCTTTACAGTTATTGAGAAAAGAGTAAACAAAGTCTTAGATGTGCAACTTGTTCAAGTACGAACATGGCATTTTAATAATTTATCTTTATTTCCTTTTTTGTTCAGTTATGTGTAAAGTGCTTTTGTCTGTGCCTACTAGTCTAATGAGGTGCGGATCAGTTCTTGGTGTGAACACGGGGGTCTTCTTAATATGGAACGATTTCTGGCTACCAAAGGGCTTCTACTCGATGTCATCATTACTGACAGAAATCGTCAAAATGCCGCTTTTACATTTGCAACAAAATAAAGCCAAAAGGAACTACGCATTACTACGACATCTGGCAAGTAAAGCGTTTATACAACTAAGCACTCGACCTGCCCAACTCAATAGTGAATTATAATATCTTTATTGTGTTGACGGGTGTAAAAGTATTTTGTTTTTAGGTATTGGCAAGAAAATTGACGCTTTGGCAAAACAAAAAGATTGCGAAGATGCAGGCTTGTAGAGGAAGTTGATCGTCAACCACCTCTACTGGATAGCCACTGCACCCGAGGGAAATGAGGACATGATAGAGGCTATGTGGAAGTCAGTTTGCAACCACATACAAGACATCTACGAGGAGCACAGTGATCTCTACCTGGCATGTGCCCATGGCCCTTTGGACGACGAAGAGAGGGACAAAGAGTGGCTGCAACCTTGTAGGAAATTTTGGATTTTTTGTTC